AATGGAAACAATTATAGGTTACATTTGCACTGCGATTTTAAAAAAAGAAATAAAGCAAAGCAATGAAATTAGTTTCCTTTATAAAGTAGAAAAATAATGATTGATAAAATGGCAGCCTCATAATATTTATGCCATGAATTCAGAGTGGGGCACATGGGAAGAAGCTTCAAATATAATAAGGCTGGGGATATTGATAGTGCTAGAGTCCTTGTGCAGATCCCTGGATTCAGTCCACAGCACCACAGGGGGAAAATAACTATATTTCTATATAATAATGGTTCATCTGTGTGCTGCATATGCAGTAATTCTTGTTTTATACTTCACATACTTTTTATACATATTTGGATATTCAATATTTAATCTAAAACAGTTGAAAAAAATCCATTCCTTGTGATTAATTTCTTCCTGATAATCTTGTAATAGGTTGAGTATGTGAGGCTATGTGTTCACATTCATTGTAGCATTGTGGTAGCAAAAAAATTGATTCTTTTGTTTTTGTGATTGTTATGGTTGATATATTGTTTCAACTTGGGGAGTCTAGAGGTTTGGCTAAGTGACTCAGCAGGAAGCCAGGGTGCTTACTTTGTATGCATCCTGAGCCTGTTTACAAAGTAAGGCAGGGAAAGAAGCTGCTTGCCGCCATTACTCCAGTTTGCTCTGGCTGTTTGCTGTTCGGCTGCCCTTTCCCCCCTTTGCTCTTGTTGCTTTGCTGCCTTCTGCCTCGGAGCCAGCCAAGTATGGGCTGAAACCTCCACAAACTGTAAGCTAAATAAACCTTTCCTTCCTTCATTTTGGGAGCTGGGTATTTTGTCTCAGCAACGAGAGAAAAGTAACCAAGACAGTGATCCTGGGGGTTGAACTAAAATTCTAGGCAACACTCTACCAGTGAGGTAAACCGCCAGTAAAAAATCCAAGAACATTCTAAATGCCCATCACTAGGGAAAATCTTGTAAATCTTGGTTTGTGCCACATAGAATACTATGCAGCAGCTAAAAAGAATGAGGTGATAGAGCAGTGTAAAACAGACAAGTGATACAACCCCAAATTTTATTTACTAAGGAAGTATGTATGTAGAAATATGTCTGTATAAATAAAAAATCGTTGTCAGTGAAGGGATTTGGGCTGGTCTCACGTGAAGACATACTGACAAAAAGTAGTGAGATAATATGTACTTTGTCTTTCTGTTTTTTAATTTTTGAAGTAAAATTGTTTTTAACATGTTACTGGATTTGTACAAAAGCTACATTTTATCATGAGAAAAATTCAGATAATCAAAAAGAGTGCAGAAGAAAGAGAATTTTCATCATTAACGTATCAAACCTTTGACTCACACCAAGCAGCTGTACACAGCACACAATAAATCAGTTTTTCTTCCCAGCATACTCTTTGAGTATCATTATTTTTGTTTGTCATGTGAGGCACTGAAGCACTGAGATATTATATGTCACACAGTTAGCAAGCAGTAGTGTTGGGCTTCAGGCCTTCAAGAACTGGTTTCACGCATCAGGAGTTGTTCTGTAAAAGGCCCAGGGAAAGGTTGCCAGGGAAGAGTTGACTCTTTTTTAAAAAATGGTTTCATAAGGTCTCTTGGAGGAAGAATCAGTTGAAAACTCAGTAAAATGAGGGTGAAAACCATGAAGCCATGGAGAAAAGTAGAAGTTCCGATAAATGGAAATTCGTATATAAGTGAGATAATATCTGCCATTCTGTAAACTCCTTCTCCTAGCTTGGCAGAATGTAGGCCTTTTTTTTAAAAAAATTTTTTTTTGAGTCAGGGTCTCACTGTGTTATTCAGTTCAGGGTGGCCTTGAACTTTTGAACTGACACTCCTCCTGCCTGCCTCCTGAGTGTTGAGATTACAGGTGCCACTGTGGCATCTTTCCATTTCAGTAAAAATGGATTATAACTTCATGGTTGCATTATATTTTGATATATATCTTAGTTTTTTGCGCTAAATTTTTAGTGCCATGAACAGTGGCCAGTGAATAACCTCTTATGCAGCCAGACTCCTTAGAGAAAGATTTTTTTTTAGAGTTAGCTGATAGAAATGGGCCAAAGGGTGTGTATATTTTATACTTTGATATTATTAGATTGTCTGAAAAGCTGAGTTGATTAGTGTGGTAGGACCTTTTGATATAATTTTTGTTTTTGTCAAAGAAATATACATAAATATTTAGACAGATAGTTCTATAAGGCTATTAATGAAAAGTGAAAGCCCCCAGCCCTTTACATCCCCAGAGGCCATAGCTTTCAGCTTTTTAAAGTGATTCTTGTGACATTTACCTCTTTGTCTTCAAATTCTAGTTAAAATTTTATTAACTGCCAACGATGGTTAAAGATTAAGCTTTTCGTTATTGCCTACCTGCATATACACGTCTTTACTTTTACCTGAGATCTCCCAATATAGTACATTGTAACTATGACTATTTTTAGTGCTTACATATTATTGTAAAAACTTAGTCATGCAGTGTACTGTGATTGCTTTTCCTTTCCTTGTTTTCCACATTAATGTTTTCTTTGTTTGTATTGTTTCCTATATATTTGACTTTCAGATTACCTGCTAGTATGTAAATCTCCACTACCCACTGTGTCCATACACGTTAAGTGGACTGTCATTTGTATTTCTTGAAGAATTCCTAAGACTGCTAGCTTGACCTGGAAAGGCCACTCAGCAGCCTGACTGCACAATTTACCACAGTGAGATGTTCCTCTCACCTGTCTTTAAGTTTTTAGATCTCATAATTGCCGCATTTTTTGGTTAAACCCTCATTTAATGGAATGGCTCTCCTGGTAGCTTCTTATGAAAAAACACATGACATTAAATATTCTTGAGCTCCTGTGTGTCTGCAAGTGGCTCTTTCCTACTTCACTGACCATTCTATGGTTATAGGAGTACAAGCTTGACATAGTCCTGTTTTTCACTGGTATTTGGAAAAAGTCCAGTGCTATTCTAACACTTGACAGTTTCTATCAAGGTTATTCATTTTTTGTCCTCTGAATACTTGGCTCTTCTGTGTCCATGGTGTTATACCGGGCACTCAGCCCATTCAGTCAAGAAACAGCTGCAGTTGTAGGAAGTGACTTTGAATTGTTTTATCTCTTTCTTTATATATATTGTTCAGATTTAGGATGTTTTTGATAGATTGCATAATTTTGTGTCCTGTTTGCTAATTTTGGTATTCTGCTCTGTGTGTGATTTTCATATTTACATTATCCTTTAAACCCTCTAATAAGTTTTTGTTTCTTTTTCTGGAAGTTCTTTTTGTTATCTTAATGTTCCTTTAAAATATAAATCAATCTGTTACTTTGTAGTGGGTCAAATATATGTCAGGTCACATTCTAGGCTCTGAGGAGATAGCACAAAAGAAAACCTAGTTCCTGCCCTTTTGTGATTTATGTTCATCTTTGTCCATTTCTGCTCCTTTAACAGAATGCCACAGAGGGGGTAATTTATGAACAAAAACCATTTGACTCATGTTCTAAAGCCTAGCAAGTACTCTTGGTGCTAGTAGCTTGCAAGGGCCTTCATACTGTGTCATAGCATGTTGGAAAGGAGAATGAACACGTGAAGAGAGAAGAGAAATCAGACTGAATTTATCCTTTTTTTAAAATCAGAAACCCATTTTTAAAGTAATAAACTTGCAGTAATAGCATTGATCTGTTTGTGAGGGCAGTGCCATTGTGATGCAATCATTTTTTAAAGTTTTCACCTCTTAATACTGTTAAACTAACAAAACTATCAGGGTTTGATGTTTTGTTTTTCTTTCTTGGTGGTTATTGGTTGTTTTTGTTTGTTTTGTTCTGTTTTTGAGTTTTGGAACAGCGTCTCATTTAGTAGTCCAGGCTGCTTAGAAATCTTTATCCTCTTGTCTTAGCCTCCTGAGTGCTGGATTTCAGTTGTATGACACTGCATCTTGCTACCGGTTTAGTTTTTGAGCAGAAATTCAAAATACAGCATAGCAGTATTCTCAGGAAGATACGAGAATACATGAAAGGTATACATATATATGCAAATAATATATATTGTATAATCAAAATATACGTTGAATGTTTCAGTTTTAAAACTGGATTTCTGTAAAGGATACATCACCATAGATATCCCTCAAAATACTCCATCGTTTCTGCCACTTTCTCGAGCAGTTGTGGAAATCCTCTTTTGTGAATTTCTCAACAGGATATAATAAAAAACTCACTGAGTGCTGCTGCCAATTATCCAATAGAAAGATAAGCAGAAAGGCATAAAAACATGAGGATGTGTCCTCATCTGCCTCATTCACTGTGTCTAGCACCATGTGACTTCTGTCTCTTCTCCAAAGTCGAAATGACCATGAAAGGTAAACGTTCTGAGTTCAGGACATCAAGGCAGCCAGGATAGCACAGCTAAAGACACTCATGAAAGGGGCTGGGGATTTAGCTCAGCGGCAAAGCGCCTGCCTGGCAAGCGCAAGGTTGTGAGTTCGGTTCCCGGTACCTGAGAAAAACCAAAAAAAAAAGACACTCATGAAAGAGGACTTCCAGAACTGCTTCAAAAAGTGGCAAATGATGGGATAAGTGTGTTGAGAGCAAGGGAGAGTAATTTGAGAGGGGTTAATGGCAATATATCTTTTATATTATTAATTTTAAAATATTTAATATTCATCATACCTTTCAGTCACACTGCATATACATATATGTTGTGTAGTGTTGAATACAGTGAAGAGAAGTGAAGAAAACTGGGAGGATAAAGGAGTACCAGAGTTGGGGTGTGGGTTGGTGTTCTGTGTAGAATAATGTGCCAGTTTAGCAGAAGCCTCAAGGTGAGAGAATGTGCCACATGGTGAGGAGAGTGTTCTGGGCTGAGGCATCCTTGAGGTAGACCTTCACTCGTCACATTTGAAAGACAGCAGGGCAGCCCAAGTAATAGAAGAGAGGAGCAGAGGAGATTGGGAGGATGTGAAGTTAGGAAGGGACCAGCTCATATCACATTGGGCCTTGTGAACCATTGTTACCACTTTGGTTAACATTGTTATCTATGTTACACTGAAAGCTTTTGAGCAAGTGGAGAAAATGGTCTGTTGGGGATAAAGCAAAACTATTGGAGTTTATTGCTGTAATCCAGGTGAGAAGTACTGGGGAATTTGTACATAGATGATATTTAAAAGAGTAAGAATTGCTGATCTTACCAGAGGAGCAACTGTAGTAAAGTCCTAGGACCAAGTGAGCCTTGGAGATGCCATGTTTAGTGGCTGGGGCAGAGACCGCTCAGAACGAGCAGCCTGTTTGGTAGGAGAGAACCAGAAGAAAGGCTTCATTTGGAAACCAAGTGAAGACAAGCTCAAAGAGAAGAGTACAATCAGCTGTTTTAAGAGCCATGATAGATCACATTGGGTGAGACCAAGAATTTACCGTTGGATTTAAATGGGGTCACTTGTGTTCTTGTACTGTTTTCAAGGAGACAAGAGCTTTGTTGGTATGGGTTCAAGAGAGAAAGAATGACAGAAGCAAGTTTAAGTGACCTGACACAGAGGTTAGGACACTGAGGTTAAGAAAAGGTGTGTGTGTGTGTGTGTGTGTGTGTGTGTGTGTGTGTGTGTGTAGATGATACGACAACATATTTTTGTAAGCTAATGGGATGATCTAGTAGAAAGGGAAGAATTGATGCAAGAGAAAAAGGGGTCATTTGTTCAGTTTGTGACCTTGTGACTCTAGAGGGATGGCAGTCACTGTGTGAGTGGAGGGGACCACAGTAGGTCAGGAGCTGAGCAGTTGGTTCACAGTGTAGGAGAGAAAAGTGAAAAGTGCAGATCTGTAGTGCACTGGCTGATGTGCTGGTGGGTGGGGACTGTGCTTGCTTTTCTCTGTGAAGTTGGAAGCAGGGTAAACTCTGAGAGTGAGAATGGGGTGTGGTATGCTGCCTAGATCTTTGGTGCTTAGCCAGGAGTGTGAAGCAGAGTCACTCTGACAAGAGTAATCCCTGGCAGAGTGTTTTATTTTTATTTTTTTAATTAATTTTGTTGGCACACTTTTGATACACATAATGATCACATTCATCATAGGGAATTTGTACTGTACATAATATATCTTAATTCTTCTTTTTTCTCCATTCCCCTCCCCTCTCTTCAACCCTTCTTATTTATAAAAGCTTTGTTTCTACTTTTTTCCTTCTGTTCTTTTTTCCTTCTCCCTTTCTTCCCTTCCTCTGCCCCCTCCCTTGTTCCCCAGAAAATTTTATTAAAAAAAAATATACTCTTGGACTTTAGCCCTTGAGGTTCTGACTCTAGTGTGGGGTGAGGCCCGACTTTTGTAATTTTTAAAGCCTTAGAGATGATTCTCATGTACATTCTGATTGAAAGCCACCAGCAGGGGTCATTCATGGCAACACCTCCTTTCTAGCTATCATCCCATTTTATAGTGCACCCAGGGTTGAGAGCCCTTTCTGATAGAGGAAACTCCCATCTTGTTTTGCCACACTTCTGTTCTGGACATGTGAGATCTGTGCGCATGTTTATTGCACAGCCCTCCCTGAATGACAAGATGGGCCTGTAGAGAACCTGACATGCTGCATGAGATGATCTGCTCTAGAAGAGGCTAGTTACACCAAAGTTTTAGTCACTCTGACATCCATTTGTTTATTCAACAGATAGAAGGAAGCTAAGTGGGATACTATGCCAGGTTTTGTGAGAACATTCTGATAGGGGCCTCAGCTTTGTGGAGGTTATCGTTAGTGACTGTTTTGGAGATTGGAAACAGATTCTTATCCTCCAAGAATGCTCTTGCATATCTCACACTGATTCCCTGTTTGGTATGCTGCTAAACTCCACATTCTACTCCTCTTTGCCTCACACTTAGCGTGTCCAGCTTGGCCAGATAGCATTCATTCCTGGAGGGTAGGGAGGGAGAGGGAGAATTGAATAGGACTATGGCTTCTTTATGTACCATTAAAGCTAGGTTACTAAAAAATACCAGTAGTAGTGATAGCCCCAAACCCTATATTTTGTCTTAATGAGTTGTGCTATCTGCTGAACCTGGGGCCTAGAACTCTCTTGTACCCTCTAGTGAAGGGTAAACTGAAGCCCAGAGGCATTCCAGATGACCTCCTATCTGCTTTTTTTCTGGCCCACCTTGTAATGTTGTTTTCTTAACCTTACCACCAATTAATGACAGAAGTAAAAATTCATTAAATTTGAGGGTGATGAGTACTTGCTTCCTCTCATAAAGCCTTCTGCAGTGGGGCACCAAAGCCTACTCCCTTTCTTCATTTCCCTTTTCTTTTCTTTTCTTTCTTTTTTTTTTTTTTTGTTTGTTTGTTTTTGGTTTTTCTCCCGTACCCGGAACGGAACTCACGACCTTGCGCTTGCCAGGCAGGCGCCATTTCCCTTTTCTTAATCAGCTAAGTTTAGTGGTACTTCCTAAGTGGGAGGTGAAATCTCACCTGACCAGCTTCAGGGAGCTATCAAAGAGACCAAAAAGAACAAGGGAAAAAGCTAACTAGAGTATATAAGTGATCAAAAGACAGATATGAGTGAGTTAATTCCTACCTATCCTTTTGGGTCATATCTTAACATTTTTCATGTTTCTTTAGAAGTGCCCTTTGGAATGGTATGTGACTTATTTTTTGGAATCAGTAGTGACAGCAGTTATAGTAGTTGGCCCTTACATGCTGGAGATATACTCAAGACAGGTAGACAGGTTGACAACAATAAAACAATCAAAAGAATAGTTGCTAGATTAATACAATTTTTGGAAAGATGCTTTAAAGAAGAGAAGAGGCAGTGGGAAGGGTGACAGTGGGCTGGCATTGGAGAGGTTAAGTTGGGCTTCTGGAAGAAGAGATGTTTGGCTAGATACCTAACAGATACAAAGAACAAAGCTGTATCATGTTTTGGGCGGTGGCAGCAATAAATAGACTCCAGGGTAGCAACAAGCTTGGCAGGTTTCAGCACCATCAGAGAAGCAGTGTGTGGGGGAGTAGAGGAGCAAATGATGTGACACGGCTGGTGAGGAGGCCCCGACTCTGAGGATGATGGGAAGCAGCTGGGCGCACCGGCCTTGCTGTAGTCTGTTTTGCCTTCTAGAGTCTCTATTTTGAAGGGTCATACTAATTTGTAACTTAGGGCATATGTTAATAAGCCAGTGCTGTGGTGGATTATGGGGAATAAATATGTATTTTTAAATTTATGTAGAATGATGCTGTGAGAATGTATGAGAAAGAAATGACAGAGTTGCCTGAGTGACATGCTAGCACCCTGCACACAAGTCAGAAGAGGCACACTTACTTTTAGTCTCTCCTTTAGCAGTAGTTGAATTTTATCACATTTCATATATTTAGAAACCTTTTTATTAATAAACCATTTATATGATTTAATTTTTATGCAAAGTATAAAAATGTGTTGATGAAAACACAAAGGGACCTTTAAACTAATGTCTTCCTCTGAGATAATTTCATAGATGTTTAGAGGCTGCTTAGCATTTGGATTTCTATGAAATCCAAGCATTGACACTTGAGTGCTTTGGATGAGTACAATATGCTGTTCTCATAGGTGACATTTTGCTTTTCTGTTTTATATGACATATTTGCTCCTTTCTGCAGGCGACAGAAACAGACGTCAAAATCAGTGTGTGCACTCGAGCCTACCATCTGCTTGTGAAGAAAGTGGGCTTTAATCCAAATGACATCATCTTTGATCCCAACATCCTCACCATTGGTACTGGGATGGAAGAGCACAACTGGTATGCCATCAATTTTATCCATGCAACCAAAGTCATTAAAGTAAGTATGAGTATTTTCTCTCTTCCACCTAGGACCAACCTCAAATTTGTCACACGAGTCTAGTGAATGATTAGAGTATAACATGTATTTTTTTTCTGAGAATATTGACTCCTATTCTTGTTTTTCTAACGTTTGGAGAATTTTTTTTCTTTTATACAATGCTATTTTAAATTGCAAGTATAACACAAACCTTAGAGAATATGTAAAACGTGAGTATAGGATGTAATAAATAATTAGGAATGATATAATAGCTTTCACTTAGTCCAGAATAGCATATGGCTAATGCCTTATGTCTCTTCTTCTCTGGGTACACCTCCTTCTGAATTTCATGAAGTAGTCATCGTCCCGATTTTTATGATTCTGATACTACATTGTTACTCTTTTTTTTCAATAACAGAAATGTTAACTGTGTTTGCACATTCCCAGATGAGGTTGAACATGAAGACAGTCTGCTTTGCTTCAGCTCTCCTTCTGTACAGTAGCTATTCGTTTAGGGACTTTTGTTGCTGTTGTTGATTTCACTTTAAAAGTTACCCTCAAGCATAGTGCTAGCACTGTCTAGCATTTTTGAGTGTAAGGAGGTGTGCCTAGTGGAGAAGTTATGTGTTAGATAAGCTTTGTCTAGGCATGAGTTACATGGCTGTTGGCCATGACATGAATTCAGTGTTAATGATTCAGTACTCGATATTAAATATGGTGTCCTTAAACAAACACACATCAAGCAAGGTTTTGCCTTGTTGGGTTAATGCAAATATCAAGACCAGAGGATTGCAGGCACCTAACCATTAGGAACAGTGTTTCAGTGTTCCCTAATTCAGAATTTTCAATGACTATAGGGCAGAGCCACCAAGGAATAACAAAAATCAACTGAGTAGCTAAGCAGTAGGGTTTAGTTTTGCTTGTTTTTGAGCTTAAGGTAAAGACAATCATAAGATACTTCTGTGTTTTTTCCTTCCTGTCTCATTTTAGAGATTTATCTGTGTTGCTGTAGCTGTCATTTATTCATTTTCATTGTGCAATATTTAATTGTGTCACTGTGCTACTATTAACCATTCTGTTAATTAACATGTGGTTTGTTTCCAGCTTTTTTTGGACATTATGAACAGTGCTACTGAGAACATTCTCTCATATGTATCTTAGGTACATGTGCCTGAATTGCTCTAGGATATATCCAGAAGTGGGGTGATTAGGTCAAAGTACTAGATAATGGCAAGCTGTCTCCCTGAATGCTTGAACCAATGTGTGCTTAAGCCAACAGTGAGAGTTCTTATTGTTCCATGTGCCTGCTAATGCTTGATATTGTCTTAGGCATGGTGGGAACCTCAATTGCTTTTTGTCCTTTTACAATTGGTTGTTGACAAAGAATTAGAGAGTTTGTTCATTTAAGAAGAAGCCTTTCAGGGGCTGTGCTTTCAGCAAGTAGGGAATGTGTGTGCACTCTGCCCCGCTTTCCTATTGTTTATACAGCAGATATTTTAAGAAATACTCTATTTTATGCCCAATCAAGGCATTACAGCTGTACACAGAGACAAAGTAGAATTTTGCATTTTTCCTTAGGGAGATTAAAGTCTAGTAAGAAAAGCTATTCATGGAGTTGTGCCTTTTTGACACTGTAATATAGAAAATTGTGGTCTGTATCTGGCAGTGTCAAGCTCTGAATTACTTTGGTCTTCATATGTTTTTTACTTTCTGCTGTTACATGTAAAGCCTAAGAGATGTGATTGATAGCTGCTTTTGGCAAGGTAGGAGAATCTTTTAACATTTTTAAATGTTTGCCAGGAAACACTGCCTGGAGTCAGAATAAGCGGAGGTCTTTCCAATTTGTCCTTCTCCTTCCGAGGAATGGAAGCCATTCGAGAAGCAATGCATGGGGTTTTCCTGTACCATGCAATCAAGGTATGGGAGCACCTCCTTATCCTGTTGAACCCAGCCTTTACTTAGGATGGGGGTTGCAAAGTGGCCGATAGGCTAATTCTGACTTGCTGCCAGTTTCTGTGAATGAGATTTTATTGGGGCACAGCCACCCTGTTCATCTATATATTGTCTGCTTTTAGGCTACAATGGCAAGTCAAATAGTGATGACCAAAGTCATGGCCTAAAATATTTCTCTCTGAACTGTGATTCATCTTTCATCTTTCATCTCTAGAAATCCTCACTTTTGTTTTTATTGGCTTTAGTTTGGTATGGACATGGGGATAGTGAATGCAGGCAACCTCCCAGTGTATGATGATATCCATAAGGAACTCCTCCAGCTCTGTGAAGACCTCATCTGGAATAAAGACCCTGAAGCCACTGAGAAGCTCTTACGCTATGCCCAGGTAGAAAGAAAATTGTCTAATGGGTACCTCTTTTCTGTCTTTGAACTTACATTCGCTTAGAGTTATTGGACCCACATTGTAGAATAGAAGCAAAATTTTGTTTTGTTTCTTCTTTCTTTTTTTTTTGAGATAGGGTCTTTCTCTGTAATTCAGGCTGGCCTTGAATTCACTATGTAGCCCAGGTTGACCTGGAACCCACAGTGATCCTCCTGCCTGAGCCTTCTGAGTGCTGGGATTACAGGTGTGCCATACCACGCCCCACTAGAAGGAAGAGTTAATTGTATCTTTGGATCACTGAAGATTTCTGCAAAGTTCCAGAGAAGATGTTGGTTAGCGCAAGGAAGGAGAAACACACATGCCTAGGCTGCTTTAACATTCTGAACTTCAGTTTCTTTAAAGTGTGAAATATATTTTTCTTATACTAGGCAGTGCATACTAATTCTAGAAATTTTATAAAGTACAGTTAAGTAAATGAAGATTAAAGTCAGTCATAGTCCCACTACCCAAAGATAACCACTTTTGAAATTATGTTATAATTTCATTTTTTTTTGTACTTGTAGATGTGTGTACACATACACATTTTTACAAAAATAGAATTATATTCTTGAGTCTTTTGGTAACCTTATTTAGCAATATCCTGGGACACCTATTCATTTTATTCATTTTTCCACTTCATTCATTTAAAAAGATGTATTTTCCTGTACCCTACATTAGCATTACCTGGCTACTATTCCTAGGTGTTCAGGTTTATTCATCTGTTTATGTTAGAATCTGATTGCTCTGTACATGGTTCTGTAGTTCAAGGTTTGAAGTCAATACACATTTTAAAACATTTTTAATTTCTGTTAGTCTGTATTTGCATTACATAATGATTACATTCATTGTGGGGAGTTGATAACATGTATACAACACATCTTAATTCTTTTTCATCCCCTTTACTTCCATCTCTTGGTCCCTTCTCTTTTGGGAAAAGTCTGTTTCCTGTTATCTGTCTTTTATTTTGCTCTTCAACTGATTTATATTTTTGGGTTTCTCATATGAAAGAAACCATGCAATATTTAAGTGTATGCATTTTGATTTATTTCAGTCAACATTGGTGGCCTCAAGGTACATCCATTTTTCCTACAAATGACTGAAATATATTCTCTATGGCAGAGTAGTATGTGGTATGTAAACACCACATTTTCTTTATTCATTCCTTGGTAGAAATATAGGCAACTTCTAAGATTTAGCTATTGTCAGTTGTGCTGCTATAAACATGGGTATGCTTATATCACTGCAATATGGTATCTTTAACTGTTTTGGGAAAATACCTTGAGGGGAATATCTGGGTCAAATAAAATTTCTATTTTTTTGAGGAATATCTATGGTGATTGTGCTAGTTTACCTTCCTACTAGTAGTATGGAAGTGTTCCTTTTCCCTCACACCTGGCCAGCATTTATTATTTGGTTTCTAGGTGATGGCCATTCTTTCTGGAATAAGATGGAATCTCAGTGTTGTTTTAATTTTGATTTCTGTAATAGCCAGAGATGTTGAACTTTTTTTTTTCTTGTATCTGTTGGCCAGTTGTTATAAGAAATATAAATGAAGTCTGTACAATTTGGTCTTGGAAAATGAGAATTAAGTATAGAAGATTCAAAAATCATGCTAATTTCCACTTTTATGTTGGGCACAGTGCTAGGCTCATTAAGTACATACCTTGGATGCTATTTCCTAGAATTCAAATTAAAGATAAGATCTTTACATTAAAAAATGTTCACTTTAGTCTTTAAGAGTAATGACAAAAGGACATTTTCTCTGCAATATGTGTTGAGAAAGTGATGGTCTGCTTTTCTGTGTATTGCCAACCTTGTTAATGTTTTTCTTTGTTAGAGTCTGTTTTACTCTGAGAGAACTTCTCACTCTTCCTGTTCCACAGAAGAATAATAGAATGTTCTGGAAGAAGGATAGGAGAATGTAGGATTAATTTTATCCTTGATTGATCAGCCTTCCTAGTGATAAGATTTAAATTCTGAAACCATCTGTGGAAACGTCAGACCATGTGTCACTGTGTGCGTGACCCTTCTCTCAGTTCCACAAAGCATTTCTAGTTTCTTTTGGACCCAGGACAGAATGTCTGTGGTCATGGTTATTGCAAATACAATCAAGTTCTGCTTTTCAACTAATTACATGAGGAATGATCCCTAGCACCTTTCTCCTATTTCTATGGCTATTTCTGCTCACAGAGACAAAGTGCTCAGCCTTTCTTTAGTCTTGGAGCACGGAGACAGGGACACTAAGCACAATCAGTTTTTAGTGATACTGTGTCTTCTGCTTGGTGGGGGGCTTCATTAGTAACTGACTGAGATTGGGGGTGCTATTGAAGGCCAGTGGACATCACAGCTTATAGACTTTGTGAAGTTACAATGGAGAGTTCTTAAGAAGTGATGTGTCACTTTATCTTTTCCCCCCATTTGTCCAGAGGAAACAGCTCTCTCACTTTGGAAAAGGGGTTTCTCATTTCTTAAACCACTTCTAATCACAGTTTTGTTGGCATTGTATTTTGTCATTCTTCTGGTCTCATTTCAGTTTTAGCACTTATTTACAAAGTTTTATTTTTATATACTGTATTGAGCTGCCAAGAGGCTTTACCCTTAGAAACACAGCTGAACTGAGGGAAATTTTAATAGCAATTGCAAGAGATAACAACCCTTCATATAAGGAATTATCTCCTTAATGCAACCACGGGGCTTATTATAAGCCATTGGCCCCTCTGTAAGGTAGGCTGATTGTCTACATTCAAGGTGATTTCATTACTGTTAAGGGAATTAATAACCAAAGCAAGTCTACTTTAATACTTCCCATGAGTCCCTGTCTCTGTGACAACTCCTTGGAACACACTGTGGATATGAGGCATGAAAAGCAGCAATACTGTGAGGCATATAAAAGTTGAAGAATTATTTTTCCTTACAGGAAAACAGTTACCTCTTTTTGTTGTTAAATGAAGTCTATATCTAAGTTCCTGATACATCACTGAAAATAGTGGGAAGAGTCCTGCCTTTGATCTTTTAAGGCTCTATAATCCCACATTTAGGGAGTACTGGGCTATCTTTGAATCATAGTTCCCTTAAATGGTGAGTGTTTCAGGTGGTGAGTGTTATTTTTGGCAGTAAGTTTCAGGTATCATGGTAGCCTATGATTCATGGCATTTCTATACTAAATGGTACCCTGATGAAGCCACCTTTGGACTCAGTGGTTCCCTGCTGTGCAAGGGATTGCTCTTGAGTTACTCTGGATCTCCAGAGTATTCTTAATACTGTTCTGGAAAGTTCTTCGGGTCTTCCTTAACGTATTCTTTCATCTAGCTTTGGTTCTCATGGCCATGTGAGCCCGTGATCACATTTGGCTGTCTCTAGAGTAGTTTACTTCCTTTAGGCTGGTCCAGTTTGACTGGAGAACAAAGTCCAGATTACCACAAGGCCTTTGTGCTATGTGGGCTAGAGGAGTAGGGACAGGAGGAAGTTGTTTTTCTCATCAGCTTTATATATACACAGATGCAAAGGTGAGCAAGATGGACAGGAGCATGGAGTGGTCCCTTCACTTGCTGGCTCCTATAGTTTATTTGACTCCTATAATATGCTTGGAGTCAGACCTACCTTCCCAGGCACCAAGAAAACTCTGCAGTGTCTTGTACTTACAGCAGAGAATGCCCTGTTGAATACCTGATTGGAAAGCAAGATAGGTTCAGCATTTCATCGTCTACTTCTGAAATAACTGCTTCATTTTTTTTTTTTTTTTTTTTTTTTTGGTTTTTCTCCGGTACCGGGAACCGAACTCACGACCTTGCGCTTGCCAGGCAGGCGCTTTGCCGCTGAGCTAAATCCCTAGCCCCTACTGCTTCATTTTAAGTGTTGATTTTTTTGGATCAGGTTTGTCAGGTTTGGGATACAGCTCTGAGGTGGAGTAGTTCTATTCATTGCAGCCTCCAGCACTTTGGCCTTTGTGTCCTCCTTTGCTACTGTCTGTATCACATATTTATTCCCCTCAGTGCCCCATGAGTGTGGCACATCGTGTATTCTCTGTGAACACAGCAAGTCCCTTTTCAAGAGCATTTGGAACACTCTGCTCTGTTTTTGTATGGCACCTCCATCCCCTGGGCAAGAATTGCCTGGTTGTGTGACTGTTGGAACAAATGGTGTTTATGTGTATCAGTGATGGGAAAGGAAGTGATAGAAGAACCTTTTCTTCTTTAATTACCATCTTGTCTAGTTTCTGATATGATAGAGCCCCGGCTCATTGTTATTCCAATTCTTACCCTGTCCCTAAATCTTGGCATTCTTCCCAATTTCTTTCTTCTCCCCTTCATACTCATTGTCACTTACTGTCACTTAATGTCTTTATGTTTGTCCTTATCTGCCCTTAATTTTACCAGCACTGAGTCCAGGAGTTTCTTTTAAAAATGTGGCTGCAGAATTTTAATAGTTTTTCCTGTCCCTACCTACATGTGCCTGGCAGGTTAGATCCACATTCCACAGCATGCATTATGGCCTCCTGTGACTTGGCCTCTACTCTTCTGCATAAACATTCCCCCAGCAACATGAGTTCTTCAGCATTAATTCATTCAGCTCATGTTCACAGGTCTCTCCCTCTATTCTGTACATCACTGATGATATAGGATCTGACTGGTAGGAATACTGCCCCTACCCTCCAGGGCCTGGAGTTGACAGTTAGTTGCCTGGAAGGTAGAAGCAGAGAAAAAGAATGTGGAGGAGATGTAAGTGTTAGGCCAAAGTGATGGATTGAGTGTGAGTAATGAATAGAATTGCAGGGATGACACTTACGTTTCTCACTCGGGCAGCTGCTGCCACCAGTGGAGATGGACTGCGATCTGCCTGATATGCCAGTATTATTGCACTCTGTGTCTTTGCTGAATCTGTTTCCTTAAGACCTTGCTCCAGTATCTCTTTCTTGCACCCTCAAAAGTAAAATAAGACCTAAGATACATATAAATTAATATTAAGGAAGCATTTCTTCACTATCATCGTTTGTGGCGACCATTGCATCCTTAAAATTCCCGTGTTTCTGGTCTGTATTGTCTGCTCACTCAGCCCCTAACATATATTTTCTCTTTCTTTGATATTAGTTTGTTTCTCTTTGTGTGTTTTCCACCTCACATATTATAAGGAAGTCTTGGGGAATGTGGTCCATTTCTTACATTTCTAGTATGCCCCAGTCCAGTGCGATGTCTGCCTAAGCCTCAGTCAAGCCTTTCTGCACTTGCTGGTGATGGGTGATCCTTGTTGAGAGTGTTAAAAGCCTATCAAGGTTAGCGTATAGCTTCCTTACTGCTCTAGTATTTTGTTCTGAGGCGTTTTTTAGAAAAGAAGGAAGGAAAAAAAATGGAACCTTACTCCATCTCTGCTAAAACTTTAAGCCTTAGATTTCTCTTTCTGTCTCCACTTTTCTTGAACATTTAGAGATCTTAATTTATGCTGGACATGCCAGTAGGGGCTGGAAATTAAAAGAAGAATCAAACAGTTTTTTTTTTAATTTGCTGCCAGATGGTTCAGTAAGAAATTGCTTGTATCCATTTCTTGGTCCTAATTTCATTCAGACTCACGGCAAAGGAGGGAAGAAAGTCATCCAGACCGATGAGTGGAGGAATGGCCCCATTGAAGAGCGCCTGGAGTACGCCCTCGTGAAGGTGAGTACCAGAGCCTGCTCTGCAGTGCGTAGCTCACGTGACTGATGCGCTTGCTGAGAGTTGGTGCCGACAGCAGCTACAGGAGATGCACAGCACTGGTCACTGATTCTCAACCTGGTGCTCCCTACCCCCCATATGATAAGATATATGACGGTGTCTAGAAACATGTTTGTCTCCCACTGGCTGTGGGAGACGATTTTGGGATCTGTTGCCCAGGGATGCTGCTAGACATCCAGTGTGCAGGTCAGCCCCCACAATGAGGACTTTCCCAGCCCAGACGTCCACATTGCTGAGGCTGCGAACCCTGCCCTGGACTAGGTTGCTTTCGGTCAGTCAGAAATCAGCAGGCTGTTTTATGGATAATTGAAATTTTAGCAAGATAAATGATTTCTTGGCTTTAGTTTATTTGTGGGTCAGGAGAACTTCAAAACTCTTTTTTTGGCTCTAGAATTTAACTTTTAATTCTTGGGCCTTTTGAGAGTCACATATTTCAATTTGTGAAACTAGCTAATCACATCCAATTATCCTTGAGTGGAGGCCTGTGGTGAAGGGCTTGTCAGCAATGGCCAGGTAAGTTCCTGTTTTTGAACTTCACCTGAGTTTTGAACCTTCTCCACTCAGGTAATGTTGCAGTGCAAAAACATATTGATTTCATGAGGTACTACTAGTGTATAATCTATTGAAGTACTAGGATACATATTTAAGTTTGTGCATCTGATTTATTTCACTTAACATTATGGTCTCAAAGTGTATCCATTCTCCTACAAATGACTTGTCTACCCTTCTTTATGGCAGAGTAGTATTCCATGGTATATAAATACCACATTTTCTTTATCCATTTATCTGTTGATGGACATATGGGCTGCTTCCAAGATTTAGCTGTTAAGAATTTTGCTTCTATAAACATGGATATGCATGTTCTGTAATATGATGTTTTAGCTCTTTGGAGAAGATACCTACCTACAAGGGGGATAACTGAGTCAAATGGAATTTCTAGTTTTAGTTTTCTGAGGAATCTCCACACTGATTTCCATAGTGGTGGTACTAGTTTGCATTCCCATGAACTGTAGAAGGGTTTCTTTTTCCCTACAGCCTCTCTAACATTTGTTACTTGATTTTTTTTGTTTGTTTGTTTTGGTACTGGGAATCAAACTCAGGACCTTGTGCTTGCCAAGCAAGGTGCTGTGCTGCTAAGCTGTATCCCTAGCCCTGTTATTTGTTTTGTTTTGTTTTGTTTTGTTTTGTTTTGTTTTTTTTGGTTTTTCTCCAGAACTGGGAACCGAACTCACGACCTTGCGCTTGCCAGGCAGGTGCTTTTGCCGCTGAGCTAAATCCCCAGCCCTCCTAGCCCTGTTATTTGATTTCTTGATGGGATGTGTTACGTTCATGTTCTGACTGTGCACAAGGAATGTAAACATTATGTACTGCAAACGTGTACCAAACAAAAGGGAAGAGATGCAGGGATGGGTGGAGAGGGTGGGAGGGAGGGAAGGGAAAGAAGATGAAAAAAGGAATTAAAGTGTGTTATGTACATGTACCAACTTCCCATAAGGAATGTGAACACATACCACACACATGTACTAATAAACTAAAGCAAAAAATACTAGGCTACAAAGAGGCATTTATTTTGAGTTTGAACTCACTCATTAACCCGTCGTCTCTCATTGATAGCTCACTTTTATGAGTACTTCGTATTGATAAAACCAGCTATCAGTTTACATGGGCTAAGTCATTTAATAATCCTTAAACTAAACATATGAGTTAGATACTATTGTGATTTTTCTGGATAACTGAAGCTTAATAGATTACATAAATTAGTGACAGGAGCCAGGATTTGAACTCCTGCATTCTGCTTCTGGAACTCACACTTTTTTTGTTCTTGTTTTTTGAGATAGGATCTTACCATGTAGTTCAAGTTGGCCTTGAACTCACTATATAGCCCTGACTGGTCTTGAACTCTCATCGATCCTCCTGCCCCAGCCTCTGGAATGCTGGAATTAGTCATATACCACCATTCTCAGCAGGGACTCATACTCTTAAGCATTTCTGATTCATCACTTTTTGCTGCTGGATTTAAGACAGTTTTTAATGTGATTTTTCCTTATTTCTTTTTTTGAAGGGCATTGAAAAATATATTATTGAAGATACTGAGGAAGCCAGGTTAAACCAGGAAAAATACCCCCGACCTCTGAATATAATTGAAGGACCCCTGATGAATGGCATGAAGGTTGTTGGTGATCTTTTTGGAGCTGGAAAAATGTTTCTGCCTCAGGTTGGCCAAACATAGGGAAATAGTTTCACAATTGAATTTTTCATTGTCTTTCAGTGAATAGTCAGTAGATTATAGTAGGTATTATCTGTAGTGACAGGTCCCAAGAATGAGGTCCCCGCAGATGAAAAGGTAAAGGAGATGAAAAGGTAAAACAGGTAAGAAAAACAGATAAGAAAACAGCTTACAGTCTCAGGGACTGCTGCTGCCCCGATCACCCATCTCAGTTGCCTTTTATTGGAACCTAGAACGTAACTCAGACCCACGAGAGAAATTCAGTAGCCCTTTCCATTTCTGCCTCTCAGCTGATAGTAACCATCCTGGGGCGAGCCTCCCACACCCCGCACCATGTGCAGTCAGCACAGCTGGGGATCGTAAGCCGACCATCAGTAATCAGTTCATTAGCAATCACAGTCCTTTCCCCACAGATTATAGATGTTTTTCTGAAGTTTCAGTTTGGAGAGGAGCTCAAAGGCATTATCTGGCCATTCCTTCCTAGATGTATTTGGAGTCAAGCCTGGAAAGAATTCATCCTTAGAATGGTGCAGAGGTTAGAGGTCATTTGGAGGATCTTCATTAGTTTTTTTTTGTTGTTGTTGTTTTGAGACAGGATCTTGCTAAGTAGCACAGGCTGGCCTCAAACTTGTGGCAGTCCTCCTGCCTTAGCCTCCTAAGTGCTGGGATTACAGGCATGTGCCCCCATGCCTGGGTTTAGAAATTGTCTGCAAATTCTTGACATTGTAGTCTTTATGTTTATGACTTTCTAACCACCTCTTACTCCAGTGCCTCTTTCTCTCCTCAAAAGTAAAATAAGACCCAGGATATATGTCAAGTTAATATCAAGGCTTGGTTTGACTAACTGGTGGTCTTCTTTAATGATGCATACTTTGAAAACTGTGTGTTAAGGAGAGGTATGTTAAATGTTACATTTTAGGTAAACTCAGAAGTCTTAATTTTGTAATACAGCAACTACTAACCCCGTCAGTAAACAAAGTCTTGCTGAGCATATAGGTTAGGGGCCTGAAGGCATATGAAAGACTGAAAGGGCTTCCTGCATAAGCCTCAATTTTAAGTGAGTTGTAATGCATAGGGTTAAGACAAGAAGGCTGGGATGAGGGCAGCCATGAGGGCATGGTAGAGAAGCTTGGGACCTGAAGGATGCACAGAATTCAGAGAAGTGATAGAGGGCCTTCTAGGCAGAGAAAAACAAGCAGAAGTTCAGAAGACAGTAATCACATTGTGTGGTCTCCATTCTTTTTTCCTTTGCTGTGCCTTATTCGTTTTCCCCTGCAGAGCTTATTCCTGAGCCTAGTCACTGTCAAAAGCGACTCCCATGTAGCTGGCCTGAGGTCAGAGCAGGCATTCCATTTTCACAGGTGACCATTAGCAATGTGTCGTATTTTGGAATGGCTGGTAGTTGGGATGACTAATCAGATACCTGACTCTGTTCTTTTCTCAGGTTATAAAGTCAGCTCGGGTCATGAAGAAGGCTGTTGGTCACCTTATCCCGTTCATGGAAAAAGAAAGAGAGGAGAACAGAGTGATTCATGGTGCAGTAGAAGAAGAGGCAAGTTGGTTCATCCATGCCTGTGGGCCTTTTGAGTAGCCTCTTACTGGGTTGGGCTTAAGCATCATGCTTGGCTATGTTTGTCCTTGAAGATGAAGTACAGAAGTGATCCAGCATTTGACCCTCCCTTACCAAGCTTCAGTATACCCTGAGATTTTCCTTTGAATGTGGCTTTATAATTTTTTAAATATAAATAATTTTAAAGCCCATGATTTCAAGACAAAACTAGTTCATTCCCTCATTAACTGACCATTCACAAAGTTCCTACTAGGTACTGTACCTACCAAATTCTTTCCTCACTTTTGAGGTATTTGAGTAATGTTTGTTTTTAGAAAACTCTTTATCTGAATGTTTTTTCTACTGGCAGTATCCAGTACCACTTCTGGATTCAATTTATTCTTGCTAACTGTGCCTCCAAAGTAAATCGTTAAGCCTTTTGACTTTGTTTAGCTTCCTGGGAAGCTCTGGCAGTTTCGAACCCTAGGATTCCAAATTCTTAAAATGATCTGAGTTTGTAAATGACATAGACAGACATAATACTTATAAAAATACTGCTTGCCTTAGTTTTTTCTCTTTTACTTCTGGAGGGAGGGAAATATGTTTACAGAACTTCACATCAAAGAAATAGATGCTCAAGTGCTTTCTGTACTGGGATGTTATAATTATTTTCAGATTCTGAGGGAATATCTCTATAGTTGGCCAGCTCTTCCTCTTGCTCCTCTCTTTTTAACTGTGACATTAAACCTTTTTCAATTTAAGGGACTAAGTTTATAGTGGGATTGTTCTATGTTTGAGTTTCACTGCTGCCTGAGGTGTTGGGATGTATGCTCCTGTTTGAGTCCCTTGGGCTTACCGTGTAGGCGGGCTTCCTGTCTTTGCGTGAGCTTACAGCGTTCTTAAGAGCACAAGACTTGGGTCTTAGGCTTATCCTCAAGGTGGTCTTGGCTCTATTAATTCCTATCTGTGCAGACACCTGCCTGGCTCTTGAGAGCTAGATGGTCTGCTCTAAATGATCCCAGCCCAGTTCAGCTGCTTGGCTTACTTTCCAGGACCCTTACCAAGGCACCATTGTGCTGGCCACTGTTAAAGGCGATGTGCACGACATAGGCAAGAACATAGTTGGAGTGGTCCTTGGCTGCAATAATTTCAGGTAATTTAAGATCTTATCTCTTTTAACCCTTTTGATATTTAAGCATCCAAGTTGTTTCAGCAGGGTAATGTTTTATTGAGTAACAGAGGTATAGGGTATGATAGTGGATATTAGAGGTCACTTTTTATGTTTCTGTCTACTGTGTTTTCAGATCATCTACAGTGAACATAACTTTTCAAGTGAAATAAGTAACTATTGTGTATTCATTAAGGTAAAAAAGAATAGGAAAGTTGTTCAGGCAGGTTGAGGACTGACTTGGGAGCATAGGCTCTAATGTCTAGAACATCAAGCTCTGCAGGCCAGTGGCATTTCGAATAGTCCTTTTTTCCTCTCAATAGTGGTGAGATTTTAGGACAAAGATCTTATGGAATTTGGCTAAATGGAATTTTATTGGAGGGTTTTGTCTGTACTTCCCTCTCTTGGTTTTGCAAGCCTACAACAGGACCCTGTATATTTCTTGGTGGTGATGAAGCTAGTTTTTAGAACGTTGGATATAAGTAAAACCCCTTTCTAAGATACCTCAGTATTACAAATAAATATTCATAACAAAGTTATTTCCATGTGAAAACTAGTGGCCCATAGTAAGTAAATGTTTTGTTCCGATTTCAACATATTCTGTAGAATGAAGAACCTAATACAACACATACTTTTCCTGGTTACCTGGTTCGGTCCATGTCCAGCCAGCAGTCCATTTGTGTCATGGACTTCTTTCCAATGTACTGTTTTCTCTGGTTAGAGGAGAGAGAATTAATTGGAGTTAGAGCTGTGTCCCTTACAATTCTCTTCTGTGCTTTCAGATAGCAGTGAGAGTTTAAGGAGCTTCTGTACTTTCAACACTTTTTTCCATCTCTGCCTTCATGGCTGCTAAATGTAGTCAAGAACCATCAGGAGTGCTAGAGGTGGAGGAGTAGTGTCGGGAAGGCAACTTTTTCCCCCTCTGACTGTTTGGCTCTTCATTCACTATCTAAAGACTTGTCATTCTCTCTTGGTGCTAAAAATAAAGAGTGCTATTTCTATCAGTGTATTTATTATTTTTTTAAAAGACAGGTTTTTTTGAAGATTGGCTGATACAATGAAGTGTTACATACATAAATACATACATACATACATATATAATGTATGTGTGTATGTGGATAAGGTGTTTGCTTCCTACAATCTGTTGTGTCACCTTTTCAAACCTGTTGTTGATTTCTGTTTGCATTCATCACAATCAGTTAAAACTCAATTCAGTTAATAAATGTTTACAGATCCTCTGCTATATAGCAGGCATGTACTGTGTTAAAGACACTAAAATGATTTAGTTAACTTTTCTTCTTTAAAGAACCTTATTGTCAGGCTGTTTTAAAAAAATAGTGCTGAGAATCACACCCAGGGCCCTGTGCATGTTAGGCAAGTGCTGTACCACTGAGCTCTGTCCTCAGTCCCAAGTTTGCTGTTTATCAGGCTAAATGCTCTATATTCAACCACTTGAATTAAGTGACTTACAGGTAAGTTTCCTAAAAGCTATGCTTGGTATCATTGTTTTATTATCATTTATTTTGATCATTGTCTGATTAGCTGAAAAGACTATACAAGCAATGTTTTCCCCCCATTTATGGCACTTTTAGTCAGCCAAGGAGATTTGTGGCATTTCTCCAGAGTGCTGCTGGAGCGGCATGTTCATAGTTATGGATACTACTTATTAAACTGAAGACGTCCTGCAACATATCTTGTTGCTCTGTCTTGTGTGTTGAAGGTCTTCTTGTCTTTCTAGTAAGTCTAACTGCAGAACCATCATCTGATAAAAATTTATTTTGTTTTTCCAAAACGGCAAGTGAAGTATAGTTTTCTTACTGGGGTAGGCACCCCTTTGGCTTGTGTCTCATAACTCATAGGCTCCTGTATTGATGAGTTTAATTTTATGGTATCAGCTAGTAGACAAGGGCTTCTGGAAATTGGCTCTGTGCAGTAATGTGTACTTTTGCTAAGTATCACTTCTGGGCCATGCTGCTGTGCTTAGGTGAATCACCCAGCTAGGGTGAGTCTACAGAGCACCCACAATCAAATCCTTCCTTTTGCTAGCTTTTTAATATTGATGCAATAAATCTCATGAAATATTAACAGTTTTTTTACTTTATGAAGAAAAAAAGAAGAGGATTAAAAGTGATAGTCCAGTTTTATGGGAGGGATATTTCCAGATTTAAGGATTTGAATAGATCTAGAGAGGTACTGAAGAGTCTTCTAATAACCTAACATTTACTTATCACTTGACGTTATATACAGTTAGTACTTCATGTAAGTTTGCTGTTTGGCTCTTTTCTTTTGTCCTTTCTTTCTTTTTATGGCTTTGATCCTGCCCTGCATCAGAGTAATTATAGTTCTCATTTTATACATAATAAAACCGAGGCTTAGAGGACTTTCGTGATTTCTTCATGGTAACATGGCTAGAAAATTACAGGCCAGACTTGGCTTCTGATTCCAAAAGCTGGGTCTTTGTACTGTGTAATTTTACTGTCTACTATTTTTTGACTTGCAGTCAACTTTAACTGTAATATCTAATACTAATAATCTAAATTGCTCTTAAGAAATCATTTAAACTACTTAGAGGTAGTCTTGATCAGATATTTGATTAAAAAGTTGATTTTAGATGTACTAAACAATAATAACTAAATATAAATATAGTAACTAATAATAATAGTTCTAATAATAACTATAGAAAAAGACAAATGAGGCTTTTCCCCACTTAACAGATAAGTACACTATTATATAAAAAATTATGATTTATCAACAGATACATTAAAATTACATGTCCTATATCTACCTGGTACTTTAAAAAATATGAACTTGGTGAAAAGATAAGACATATTTGTATTTTCACCAGTGGTTCTTGTTTTTGTTTTTTTGAGACAAGGTCTTGCTGTTATTTCAGGCTGGCCTTAAACTCATTATATAACCCAGGATGACCTTGAACTTGCAGCAGTCCCCCTACCTCAGCCTCCTGAGTTGCTGGGATTACAGGCATGTGCCACCATGCCCTGCACACCAGTGGCTTCTAATATAACACTCTAGTATGAGTTAAAAATAAGCAATATATATTGAAACATGAAAACAATTTTAAAATATGTAATTGTGGCACATTCAGCTGAATATCTAAGTCAAGAGCACATTAATCTTGCTCAGGAACCTTACATGTGCACCAATACTTTTTTAGAAGCTTTGGATTTGTTATATTTTAAGGAAAGACTTGCAAGAATTTACTTTTTTTTTAGAAGTAGAAATGGCAGCAGACAGGATTAGCATGGTTTACCCTCTGGTGGGAAACACTGGGGGGCCGTAGATTGATAGAGCACTTCCATCTAGTGGTAGAATGCATCAATTGCAGGGGCAGCAGACCTGTCACCTTCCTTCCTCAACAGAGATAAAGCAAAGTGATAGCAAATATCAGGCCCCTAAAAGGATGCAGATGCCTAGCTGTATTCCTTTTTTTTTTTTTTTTTTTTGCCCCTTTTTCTTTTAAATTAACATGTCAAAATTGTGCATATTTATGAGATACAGTGATATTTCTGTACGTGTATACAGTGTGTCACAGTGGGGTAATCAGTGTTTCTATCTCCTCATCGTTCCTTTGTGTTTGGAACCTTCAAGCTCATCTCTTCTAGTTCTTCATAAAATACATTACAGTTTATTGTGAATTGCAGTCACCCTACTGTGCTGTAGAACATGGTAACTATATTTTGGTACCAGTCCCTGTTTATTTTCCCTTCTCCATCTCTAGTAATTACTCTTATACTCTCTTCTACTTTGAGATCAACTTAAGCTTATACATATGAGAAATAACATCTTTTTGTGTCTAGCTTTCTTCACTTAATGTCTTCCAGTTCTGTTTTGCCACAGATGATAACATTTCATTCTTTTTATAGCCAAATAATATTCCATGATATATATTCATAAATTCCATTAAATATACATCATTATATATTTCATTTATACATATAAATTCCAATGTCTGTCTACATGTATTCATTCCATTGTATATGTGTGTGTGTGTATGTGAGGTGTGATCAAAAAATCTAGTGAGCGTCATTCAACAAAAAGGCGGGGATCTTCAATACAAGGCAGCTCATTGAACCTTAGTAACAGTATGTAACAAATACCATCCTTTTTGGTACAGTTGATTGTGTACTACAATTGAGAGAAGGTATGTTTTAAAGTGTGCCATAAATCACAGATCATGACCAATCCATTAACATGAATTTTTATTTCAAACTGCAAAAAAAGTTCATTGTGTTTTCCGTTGCACCTCTGGTATATGTATTGCTCTTTTTTTTGTCCATTCATCCATTGGTAGACACCTAGGTCAATTCCATATCTTGCCTCTGTATAATTTTATTTTCCTTTTGTTTTCTTCTAGAGAGGAAAAGAACTTTTTGTCTCATAATATTTATTTTCTAAATTTTATATTCCTAAGTAGTAAATGCTGTTGCTAAAGCATTTAGGGTAGCGTATATTTTTCTTTTTTTGAAATTAGAAGCCCAAATTAAATGTGTATATTCGTAATTCTGTTCTAAGCGCTCAGAAAGACAATTGTAGAGTCAGGCATAATGGAGTATGCTTGTAATCCCAGCCCCTAGAGAAACTCAGGTGGGAAGATACAAGGTTAGCTTTGGCAACCTTAGCATGACTCGTGCCTCGAAAAAGAAAAATTGTAAAATCAACATTTTCCATAGCTTTTTATTTCCATTCTCATTAGTCTCTCAGATGGCACATGCAAGACTGTGTAGATAAGAGGCATATAGACATGGGTTTAGCCCAGAATGAGGAAAGGAAAGTGGAGGAATAGGGGGCCTATGTAGGGGCAGCAGGAAGTTGTGATAGGAGTAACCTTCAAGCTCATCTCTTCTAGAAGTTGTGAGAAGGAGTAAATAGGGTGGTGGGAGAGCAGTCATGCAGGTGAGACACTCCTGACAGGAGCTCTGCTGTAAGCAGAGAGCCGGACGACCTTTGCCATCATACGGATTGCTTTTAACTGGATTGTAAAAACATGCAATATTGAAAATCAGTGTTGAAGGGCATGCCTTTTTGTCTTGATTTAAAAGCAATATGCTATTTTGTGCAGTTTTTTTTACCCAGCAGCATGTATGTAGTCATTGTTTAATAAAAAATCTGGGCTGGGGATATAGCTCAGTGGCATAAACGCCTGCCTGGCAAGCGCAAGGTCCTTAGTTCAATTCCTGGTACTGCAAAAAAAAAAAAAAAAAAAAAAAGATCTGGTTATTAGACTTTCTTCCGTATTTTAAAAAAAGTGTTTATGGTACCATCTCACTCCTGTTATAGCCTGTAGGCTTATCTGTTGCACAGTTATCATTGATTGGAAACTTAGCTTTAAATGAAAATTCCACATGGATTAGCTTACTTTACTCTTTTCTTTTTCTCAAAAGTAATATGGGAAAAGCTAAAAATCCAATAGCATAAAAGACATATGAGAAACAAGTCTTCTTCCTGCTCCATGTCCAGCACTCACTGTCACCAGCTGGTGTTATGGCATGTAGACGTTCTTGAGCATGCTTTAAAAACATTTAAGTATTTTTACCTTTATGAATTGTTGACGTAATAAAGTAAGTGAAAATCCATGCTATTATTTTTAAATGTCTTTTAATAAATATAGGATTAAATTATAAAGCTGACTGACTTATAGGTATTCTACCTAAAATAGAATAGAACACAGAATGTTTCCTAGGCCAGGCATTACTTTTTCCTTCAAATCTCTGAGAGGAAGTGCCATCTTCCAGACATGGAAATTCCTCCAGCATTATTATGCTCCCTCAGAACATGCTTTCTCTGCCCAGTGAGTTGAGTGCCCTTCCTGTCATGCCAGTGTCTGCTTTTCCTTTGAGTCTTGTGCACCTCTCTTTCTCCTCCTTGCCTTAAGTAACCAACTTTTCTTGCCTCAGCTAAGCATGTGCAGGGACCAGCCTCTTCCTAACTGCCCTTCTGGCTGGCTTCTATGTTTAACAGGTGTTTGTTGAGGAACTTTCCCTGCATTTTTATTGACCTAAATGGATAACAGGTTTTGGTGTCAGATCCTGATTCACATCCCAAGTCTGCTGCTAATTAGTTATATGACTAGACAAATTACTGAGCTCATCTGAACCCATATTAAAATAGAGCTTGTGGTAGCTATAGACTTACTGTACAGATTAAATTAAATTGTTATGCAAAAATGTTAGCATAGTAGAAATAGCCCAGATATCTACCAGTAGATGAATGAATAAATAAAATGTGATGTTTTAGTAAGGTTTCTATAACTATAACAGATATGTGAATCACCTTATAAAGAGAAAAGGTTTATTTTAGCTTACAGTTTTAGAGGTTTCAGTACATAGCTGATTGGCCCTATTCTCTTTGGGCCAGTGCTAAAAGCAAGTATATCATGTCAGGGAATATCACGCCAAAGCTACTCACCTCTTGGCTAGGGTATGATAAAAAGGAGACAAAGAGGAAGGAAGGGGTTCAGTGGCATGTCCTTAATGACCAGAGGATTCCTGCCTCCACCTCTTAAAGGTACCACCACCTTTCACCAGTGCTGTGTTGGGGACTAACATTTTTAGCACATGAATTTTTTTTTTTGGTGTGTGGGTGAGTGTTCCAGATCCAAACACGGCAGGGGTATATGTACATAATAGAATGTTATTCAGCTTTAAAAGAAGAATGAGATTCTGATATACACTAAAACATAGAAGAGCTTTGAAGACATTGTGTTAAATGAAATAAGCCAGACACAAGAAGACGAATGCTGTATCTAGACTGGGCAAATTCACAGAGACAGAAAGTACAATAGAGGTTACCAGGGACTGGGAGGTAGGGAAAGTAGAGGGGAAGAAGGAAGAATTATTACTTAGTAGTTGTAGTGTTTCTCTTTGGGATGATGAAATAGTTTTGTAAGTAAATAGTGGTAGTGATAGTTGTACAACATTATGACTGTAATGCACTGAATTGTACTCTTAAAAATGATTAAAATGGAAAGTTATGTATATTTTTAAAAAGAACATATCAGAAGCTATTGAATTCCTTTTTTTTTTTTTTGAGTACCAGGAATTGAACTCATAACCTCACGCTTGCCAGGCAGGCGCTTGTGCCACTGAGCTATATCCCCAGCCCTTTGAATTCCTTCATTTAGTTTTTATTTACTTATTTTGAGATGGTGTCTCACTGTGTTGTCTAGGCTGACCTCAAACTCATGGTCCAACCCATCTTCCAGCTTTGGCCTCCCAAATATCTGGGACTGTGGGCATGTGCCACCATGCCTTGCTGAATAGTACATTTTAAATGGGTGGATATGTGGAATAGGAATATATTTTGGTAAAGCCATATACAAAAAGCTTAGCATGTGCCTGGCATATGATGAGTACATGATAAATGATAGTTGTGGTGATCATCAGTGTGATTCCACTTTATTTTGAACAGTAATGACTGAAATGAAAATGTTTATTTCAGCTTTGTCTCTAATGATTCTTATTAGTTTTTTGATGTCTCATTTCTTTACCTCAGAGTTATTGATTTAGGAGTCATGACTCCTTGTGATAAGATCCTGAAAGCAGCTCTTGACCACAAAGCAGGTACTGTGCAGCTGTCCTTGGCCATTTCACTCAGTGTCTCTTCCCCAGGAATCTGTGCATCAGCGAATAGTAAAGCTCAGCCCACTTGGGGTCTGAGGGACATTCATACTGTCAAGTGCCAGCTTCTGTGCAAAGCTACTGTGTGACCCTTTATGTGGAGGTTGGGAGAAGTGCATGAGTGGCCATCAGCTCTGGAGATGCAACAGGACAGGCTTCTTTCAAGAAAACCCTGACATTCAGTGGTTTTCTGTCTGTAGTTGTCTTTATGTTATTTTGAACACTAATCATTTGAGTCTGGGATATCATGAACTAAAGATACCTTCTGCTGTATTGCTTCTTACAGCTATGGCAAGTTCACTGTTGTAACTTCAAGTCATATATCTTATTTACTACCAAAACGAATAATAAATTAAAACCCCCGAGACAGAAAAAGATGGCTTAGAATTGGAAATTCACGTCAGGTCTTGTGTCTTTATTACAAAATTTTAATTTTGGGTCTTCAATTTAAATTTGAGTCTTCATACTTCTTTTTCTCACATCCTCCTTCTACTGTTCTTTTTTTTTTTCTTTTTAATAATAGATATAATTGGCCTGTCAGGACTCATTACTCCTTCCCTGGATGAAATGATTTTTGTTGCCAAGGAAATGGAAAGATTAGCCATAAAGATTCCATTGTTGATTGGAGGAGCAACCACTTCGAGGTAAGTCATACCAGTGAGTTTGTACTCACTTTATTTACTTATACATTCATTTTTTTTTCATTCATTTATGAGATGAGGTATTGCTCTGTTGCCCAGTCTAGCCTTGAACTCCTGGGTTCAAGTGATCCATCTGCCTCAGTCTACTGAGTAGCTGGTATTATAAGTATGTGCCACTGTGTCTGGCTTTTTGTGCTTTTTCTTAAATGCTAGGGTTTATAGTGATAAAACCTGCTTTGCTTTATTTTGGTGTGTATGTTTCCTTCCCCTTATGATTTCTTTATTATATGGTCTTCCTGGTCTTCACTTGGGTGAGCTGTATAGTAGGAAACTTCTGATTCCCCACCCCTTGCCTTTTTGGGGATTCCTTTCGCTTGCAGTTGTCTTTTTCTTAATCCACTCACCTGGCATTCAGTTTCTAAAAATGGTAATAAGCTTTTACCTCTCTTGAAATGAGACTAAGTGAGGAAACTGTGTTTTTAGCACAAAGATGGTGTTTAAACTTCTACTCTCTTCTTCAGCCAGGTGTCTAATTGAAAAATTACAGATTCTCTCGAAGAAGCTCTAACTTTGTAATAGTTTAGAGACAGAAAGCCTGTCTAGCTAGAATGAATTAAAAGATCATCTGGGAGTGTTGTTTCTTAATCTTGAGTAAAAGATTCAAAGAAGAAAAACGTTCACATCTTGTCACATGGTCATTGTTTGGTTTGTCAGATTTTTTTCTGGGATTATGATCATGGTGATTTCAAAAGAAATGCTAATTATAGATGCTAGACTTTCTTTGCAACATTTCTTACAGGGTACATTGTTTACTTTAATTAGGAACAGTATCAAGTTGGCGTGTTGACTCTGATGGTCCCATAGGGTGCAGTTCATTTTTCTTGTGCAAAGGTGTAGTGGTTGTTGTAACTACTCCGGAGTTCCTTGGAGAGATTTATTTGAAGGAATTGGTTTTTGTGATTTTGGGGACTGGCAGGTCTGAAATATGCAGGCTGGAGCCAGGCAAGAGTTAATGTTGCAGTCTTGAGCCAAAAGATAGCTTGCAGAAGAATTCCTTTTTCCTTGTTGAGAAGGCAGGGACTTGGTCTTTTTTCCTAATGCCTATTGGTTGATGAGGTCCACCTACATTTGGATGATAATCTGCTTTACTCAAAGTTTGCTGATTAAAATGTTAGTTACATCTAAAGCAATACCTTCACAGGAACATTTAGATTGTGGTCTGACTAAAATTGAGGATCATGGCCCAGCCAAGCTTACACATTTGTAATCTGAATGAATCATTTTCACAAATAGCCACAGTGTCATGTGTATTTTATCCATTAATTGCTTCTTATACTTGAAGGAGTCCATAGTTGCTGCTCACATTAGAAAACAGTTTTTCGTATAGGACCTAACTACTAGGCTGTGTGACAGATTGTTCTCAGTTGATAACTGGATTTTGATGAGCATTATTTTGGTTAATTCATGACAAATTTAGTAATGATAAAAGGCTCTATAGACTATTGTCAGAATAAAAGACCTTTAAAAGTAACAGTTGAGCCAGCCATAGCTACATGCCTGTAATCCCAGCTATTCAGGCTAAAGCAGAATAATCACAAGTTTGAGTCCAGCCTGGGCAACTTGGTGAGACCCTGTCTCAAAAATTTTAAAAAGGCTAGAGGTACAGATGGGTGGTAGAGTGCTTAACTACTATGTGCAGTGCAAAGCCCTGGATTTAATCCCTAGTACTAGCGGGGGAAAAAGGAAAATCAGACCACAGTTGTAAAATGGAATATTCAAATGAGTAGCTCTATTAAAATGTATTATGGGTTGTGTAAATTTGATGGTAGCTTCAAAATTAGAATCTTTTTTTTTTTTTTTTTTTTTTTTTTTTTTTTTTTGAGACAGAGTCTTGCTATGTAGTTCAGGCTGGCCTTGAGCTCACTTTGTAGCCCAGGCTGGTCTCAAACTCACAGCGATTCTACTGCCTTAGCCTCTTGAGTGCTGGGATTACAGGCATGCACCACCACACCTGGCAAAATTAGAATCTTTTTATGTAGTAAGATGCTATACTCAAAAATTTAAGATCAAGAATTTGCTACTTGTGCAGATTTGAACTTGACCAAATTGTCCATTATAAGAATCACCAGATTAAAGAAAAAACATTCAGAAGCAACATAACTACCTTTTTAAGATGTATCATTGGCAAAGTTAGACTAATCCATGATTCTTAACTGATATCTCAAATAAGACTTAGTGATGGGAAGTCACCCATCTCCAGGTGCTGCAAGATATCTGTTCTCATCACTTACAAAACTGAAGGCAGAAAGCTGGATCTCTTGACCTCCCAAGATTTTTTCCTTTATCAGAACTATGCAGATAGATTTTTCCAATCTTGCTTGTCTTTTGCTATCTCAGCAATATCTGTGAATCACAAAGTTTTAATTTTTGTGAAGTCTGATTTCTCAGTCTCTTCATTTGTGGTTAATACCTTTTGTAGCTGAAAAAGAAAACCATCTATCTACTCTTAGGAAAGCCTGCTTAGTTACAGACCACTTGGGAGTCTGAATGTCTGGAAGTCCTTCTGAGACCCCTGGCTATTTCCTCCTCACACCTGTTAGGGGCTCAGCAGGGATTAGTTCTTCCCTTTGCTCAGTGTACTCGAAGATGTAGAATCTCAAGGCTTCAGATTTTCATGAGAACACATATCTGAGGAAATATGTTTTTCCAGATGCCAGTAGCCTGCAGTAACATAAACAGAATTAGACCTGTGCCTCTTAGATCCACTGATGGCAGTTAATTCTGTCCAGTGGACAGTCCTTAGGGATGTTGAGAGGGTGTTAAAGATTTGGGGTCAAAATGGGTGCAGTATATGCTTGGATTGTCCCTTTTTAAACCTGTAGGTATAAACAAAGAGAACCAAATCATCTATCTGTAATGTAGATAGATGGTTTTGCTGTCACGTATAAGAAACTGGTGTAAGTCTTATTGTGTTACCTGTATAACATCTCAAGAGCATAAACTGTGGCAGAATTTTCTGAGTGTGGGTGTTTTTTCCTTAATTGCTAGTAAGTAAAGTATTAAATCAATTATGTGATTTTATTTTCCTGTTTCCATTGCCCATAGGGAAGCTTAGAATTTAGGCCTGTGTATAGAAATTCACTGAATGAATTTATATGCTGAGCTTACTGCTGTTTCCATCTTAATTTCCCATTTTTATTTTCCCTTTCTTTCATTTTTCTCATCAAATTTTAAGCATTGATCATGCTGTAAAAGACCTTAAAGTTAAATGTAGACTGGAGTATGATATGAAGTAAATGCTTAGAGTTACTTTCTTACTCAGAGTATTTTTAAGAAGTCTTCTGAGTTTAATACATCCTGGGTTCTTGGCAAGTATGGGAGGGGAACAGTGGGATCCTGTGTCCATGAGTGACTTGGAAGGGGCAGCATTTGAGATTCATTGCTGTTGGTGTGCAGGAAGGATAGAGAGAACCCATTGTTCTGCATCTTTTCAGGCTTGCATAAGTAGAAGCCTAGAGGGAGTAAGTGGAATCAATGTCATATTATTTTATAAGGAAACCAGAAGCACTCTGAGCAGTTAAGGAAGCTCAAATTTAATGCCTCTGGTTATCTAGCTTTGTCAGTTTTTATGTTGAAAAGAGGTAATTTGCTTTGATTTGTTTTAAAATACTGGAATCCATCAGTTTCTTCTCAGTGCCCTTGTATGGAAGATCAACAGAGAGAATTAGCTGGAACTGACTTGAGAACCTTCAAGTGCTTAAAAAATACTATGTTGATTTTAAATTATGAAATCATTGGGTTTAAAGTAATGCTTCCTTGCAGAGTATATTTTCAAGTGGAATATGTAGGAAATACTCATGCACTCAAGGAGCTTGTCATCTGAAGGAGAAAGCAGCAAACTTAATGTGAGTTGTGCTGTTCTGAAACTTGAGGCAGCTACTTCTTTAAAATTTTTTCTACTTTTTGAAAATCATTCTCCTTACAAAATGCTGAAGATGCCATCAAAGTTTGATCCCTGTCTTAGTTACTTTTCTCATTGCTGATACAAAATACCCAATACCCAAAGTTAAGGAAGGAAAGGTTTATTTCATTTCACAGTTTATAGAGGTTTCAGTTCATAGTTGGCTGGCTCCAAGGCAGGGTAGCATGGCAGAGAGGCATTACAGAGGAGAAACTGTTCATGGGAGGCGGAAGGCAGCAAAAACAGCAAGCAGAAAGCGACAACAGTAGCCCTCTTTCTGTCCCTTGTATTCTGTGCTGGCTACCCCCACACCCAGGGTGGGGCACCCTTAATCCTATCATCACACCTGCATCAATCCCAGCATCACATCCTTAATCTCAGCATCACACACTCTAGATCCGGCTACCTGTGAAAAGCCTCATCTATGACCACTTGAGGCTTTGGGGGGACATTTAGATATAAACCATTAGAGTCCTTGAGCACACAGTAGGGATAAGGTGCATACTCAGGAGGCATTGGAGTTCATTTCACTGCTCCAGGCTGCCTGCCCCACCGCCCCAGTTGTTCCCACCAGCTGCTGGAATGGCTCTTGTACAGCCCTGAACTCATGCTTCCTATTCACAAATGGAGGTACTCTTAGAAAGTGGGTGCTGTCTTGTTATAAATGTGTTTTTAGAAGTTCCTAGAGAGATAGTGTGGGTAAGGTGTACTAATGTGGTTTTGGGGATTGAATCCAAGGTCTTCTCACTGAGCTATATCTCCAGTCTTTTTCTAAATTTTGAATCAGAGTCTTACTTGCCCAGGCAGGACTTGAAGTTGCAATCCTCCTGTCTTAGCCTACCAGAGTACTGGGATTACATTTGATGCTGTTTAGGTTTTAAAAGATTAGTTGTGTAATCTACACTCACTGGAACATCTCAGACAATGGAGAAGAGTGTAAAGTAAAATCTAGCCTCTCCCTTCCCACCTTTAGCCCTACCTCCCCCTGATATGCATCTCTCTGTGGTTTTCTAAATATGCAGAATTTTAGATGTCACATTGATTGGCTGGGCAGTTTGAGAGTGGTGTGTTTGTTTTTAAAAAACGGAATTGCATTAAACAGTGTCCTGCTACTTGGTTACTTTCTCATATAGTAACATATTCTGGATAATACTCCAAAAAAAAATCCACTTTAATTGAGGGAAAGAACATGAAAATACCAGATTTGCAGAAGAATGCTGCTGCTTTGGAGAGAAGGGAAGAGCAGGAAACACTGGAAGCCCCGTGGTGAGCACTGCCGCCACCCTCAGAACAGATTGGACCAATCAGTGCTTCTCTTGTCCTGGGTCCCATTTCAGCAGTGGAGGAGAGTTAATGTATGTTTCAGTTCTCACTTTAATTTGGTGTGTTCTGTAATGAAATACTAGATATATAGCTTATGCTAATGGTGGAAATATCCAGCAACCAGAGGGCAATTTGTTTTGTACTTTAGTTAATTAGTTAATTTTAGGAATTAAAGATTGTTTCTTCCCAGTACTAACATTTTCAAGTTTGGCACTAGGGATTTGGGGCTGAGCCAATCTTAGTATAAAATATTTTATTGCTTTCACCTCTCTGTTATTTTGTGTTGAATTTTGGACCTGGGGCTCCTTACTATAAGTAGAAGGTGGAGTTGAGGGGAAGGGGTGTTGATGTCTCCCACAAGGAGGGAGCAACCACTAGGCAGCATGTCCTGTGTTCTCTGCTTGGTTGCTGGTTCTCCAGGGCCATGGGCTGGTCTCTCAGTTTGTCTGGAGGAGGGAAAGTGAGCAAGGTGAGATGGCCCTGGGTGGTTCTTCCTTAGTCTTCGCAGGCTGCGCCGAGCGCATGGTCTGGTTCCTTGTTGACAGAAGGCCGGGGACTAAGTCTTTCTCATTTTTCTCACAGGCTTCTTTGTAGCCTGAGTCTATCAGTTCATGTTGTTTCACCTTGTTTTCCCCATCTTGGGATAGATAAGTCATTTTCTTTTACAATTTTATAAGAGAAATTTGAAATTCAGTGTTTGTAAATAAGCATGTTGAAATCTTTCTCTGGAAAACTAGAAACACACTATGTCTAATGGTTCTGAAGAGGAGTTGTGTAGCAGTTGTCACTGCTGATGGATACGCTTTTCTTCTGACCTTTCTTTCCAGAACCCACACAGCAGTTAAAATAGCTCCAAGATACAGTGCACCTGTAATCCATGTCTTGGATGCATCCAAGAGTGTGGTGGTGGTGAGTATGAGCCTTTCAATTTTATTTCAGAATAAAGGAGAAAACAAAGGAAGCAGTAATAGTTAAGCATGTCACCCAAGATCTATTTTTTCTTCTAAGACATTAAAAAGCACCTGGGGCTTATGGTGAGCCACCACAGTATCTGCCTGTTGGAAGGAGACCCTGTGAGCATTCCTGTGCTTTCAAAGACATTTGGAGAAGCAGAAGTAGAGATGGGTGGCATCAAAGTAACCTCAGGTTGAACCTTCCCAACATACAGATTTGTCTAGTTTACAGCTGTGAATAGATGCTTCCTTCACCACTGCCAGAGTTAAACAGATTGTGGGATTTAAGAAGTGACCTAGATAGAAGAACACTTGAGAATGGGCCAGTTGACCCAATCCCAAGACAGACAAACATTCAGTAGGTATTTAAAACTGAAAGAAATAGATTCTGTTTGTAGCGAACATAATAAACAACTTGGCTCAGGCACTGCTTTCACTTTCAGTGAAGCCTAGTATCTTATCTTACTGTCAGTTTTTGTCTGAATAATGGTGTACACCAGCTAGGGAGACATCTGAGAGATCATGTGGCCCTGTGGCTTCCAGTTCTGAGCTGCAGAACCCTTGTTTTTAAGTGACATTTCACCTGGAAACTGGGTGTGGTTGAGAAAAGCTGAGCTGGCCCTCTGCTTTATCCCGGTAGTTCTCATCAGAAGAGCAGAGTCTGAGAACCACCACTGTACTTCAACCTTCACATTGTAGAAGACAGGAAATCTACTCGGGGGCCTAGTAACCTGGGAGATTTTAAGTGACATTATACAGCCTGGCCTAGGGTCACCACATTTCCTGAGCCATCTTCCAAAGGAATTCTTTCAGATCTGTGGATTTATTTACACGGAACTTACACAGTTGCCACTATCATTGAGAATTTATAATATGCCAGGTATTGAACTAAGTGCTTCACGTAGGTTATTTTATTTAACATGTTCATGATGGGGCCATAATTTGTATGTTTCACTGCTGGGCAGGTTGAATTACCAGTGGTATGGCATGACTGTCCCATTGAGTGGCTTTTTACTTTATTAGTAAAAGGCCTGTAAAAGTGATTAGATCCATTTGTAGCACAAGTGGTACAAGCCACCCAAAAGGAGAATTATGCCTGTTCCAGTGGTGGTTCAAGCCAATGGGAACATGTTAATCCTTAGAATGAACTCAGAAGGTAGGTGCTTTTATTGTCCTCATGTTAGAGATGAGGGCATAAGAAGAACAAAGAGGCTACTAACTCCTGAGGCCATATGTCTTGGTTACTTTTCTCTCGTTGCTGGGACAAAATACCTGACGCCCAAAATTAAGGAAGGAAAGGTTTATTTCACTTATAGTTTGTGGAGGTTTTAGTCCATACTTGGCAGGTTACAAGGCAGAGTGGCACATGGCAGAGGGCTACAGCTCATGGTGGCAGAACACAGCAAAAACAACAAATACAAAAGGGAGGAATGGCTGCAAGCAGCCTCTTCCTGTCCCTTACATGTGCAAACTATCCACTCCACGGCGGGTGTAGCTCTCACACCCGTAATCAATCAAACTCTAAAAGCCTGCCCCATGACCGCATGAGGCTTTGGGGGGGCACCCAGACACAAACCATAACACCATATATTTATCGAGTGACAAGTTTAAGATTCGAATGCTACATTAAACTTATTTCCATTAATATTTAACAAGTTTTTTAAAGGGTAAGATTAAATCAGGCTGCAATCAAAAAGTTGTCATTTAAAATTTTTCAGTTAACATAGATTAATATACAAGTAAGCTACATTTCTACAATTCTGAAACAATGTTTTATATCTTGATTTTGGATTATTTTTCATGGGAGCTTATATCAGGTCTATGGTTGAGTGACCAATGGGTCCATTTTTAAGGTTTATTGCTGTTTTCACATGCTATGAATGTCCCTGAGCATTTTGTATTTGGAGCCAAGCCTGGTTGGGTATTGCCCAGTGTATTGTTCCCTAAACAGGTAGAGGAGGGAGTCGGCCCTCAGTTCCATGTTTGGAAGATGCTCCTTCCCTCTCCTGAAGAGACCAGCATCTGAGCTTTGCTGGCAGTCAGGCAGGGGACAAAGCTTGGCCCTGCTGGATTGTGCTGTGCTTAGCTTGTTTTACATACAAAGAAATGAGAGAAAGGAAGGAAGGAAGGAAGGAAGGAAGGAAGGAAGGAAGGAAGGAAGGAAGGA